CGACATAATTTAGTCCGGGGGTGGGGGAAGAACTCCTGTGTGACCCAGAAAGGGGTACTTTTTATAGTCTCGGTTTGGGGTATTAATTGCAGAATTTGGTCTCATTGAGGGTCTTCAGAACGAAAAGCTTATTAATTCATTATTTTCTCCTATAGAGATATTACTTTTATGCTGTGTTAAGGACAGCACTGACTCATTTTCAGTTAGTTCAAGTCAATATGGCTCTTAATTGGTGTCAGTGACTCATTGCCTGTTTTAGCAAGGTATTTTATAGGGTTCAAAGAAAGCATGAGCCACGCGCACGCAGATTAGCCTTTCTTAGGTGTTTATAGTAGAACCTCCACTTACAGCCACCTCTCCACAATAACGACCACCTCTCTACAACGGCCACTTTTTTCCGGCGGACAGTTGATACATTGACTCTTGTTTAAACCTCAATAAAACGGCCAATTTCTCCTGATCCCAAGGTGGCCGTTGCGGAGGGGTTCAACTGTATTTCTAATTTACCGTCGAGTATTCCTGTCTCTTTTATACGGGTTTCACCCCCTGGAGATATAGTCTTGTCAATCGGTCTATTTTTCTGTTATTTCTATTTGAAGTTCCCTTTCCTAGGGAAATAAAAGCTAATCTAATAATAATAATAATAATAATAATAATAATAATAATAATAATAATAATAATGATAACATATCATGCGAAACACACAGTGACACGTTTCTTTCATAAAAATAGTCTAAAGAAACGTTGACTAACAAGAACGAAAAATTCCTGTCATATTCACGAGATACTTTTGTGGTATCTACTCTCTCAATTAGTTATCTCAAATAACTCCGGACACGAATGAGGATATCGTAATTGTTAAATGATTTGTTAATACGTGACAGTACAGCAACTTCCAAATATGCACATTTATCACAGACATAGTATCACGGTTATCGATACTTTAACACTTTAGGGAACACTTTCCGCCACCAATATATTTATGTTACGTAGTATGTTACAAAAATAAAAGGTTGGTCTATTTTTATTAATAGCTTATGATGATGTAACAAAAAAATCAGATCTGAATGGCTTGTATGTATTGGCAGGTGCAAAAACAGCCGGTGAGATCAAACAAGGCTCCGTAGAAACCCTTGTTTCTGCAATTATAGGATGCAGTGGTTAGCAACGTTTCAAAGTTTGTTTGTTCAGTGTACATCATCTACACCTTTCCCATGGATAAAACGTAATCACTTTAGAAAAAGACTTTCATCGTTGATTTTCCAAGCCATCAAAACCAATTTGTTTTCACACTGGCTATATTTGTATGTCGAAGCGTGTATGCGTTTATTATTATTCGTTTATTGTTTTGTTTGCCAAAAATTGTACAAATCAAATAAAATCTAATTACTTAAACTCTCATGTCGAGGAAGCCCAAGAGAAGCCACCGGGCTAATAAGGAATGAGCTCCCTCAGTTAGATAATTAGAACAAAATATTATCATAATTACACATGGGAAAATCAATGGCAGAGCTACAGTAAATCTTAAAATAAGTATATTAGATAGTCGTACTAATCATAGTTCTAGGCTAAAAAAAGCGAAATGACAAAAAGAAAAAAAAACAAAAACAAAATAAAAGAGCAAAGAAAGAAAAAAAAATACATAAATATATATATAAATTACTATTTATGATAAGAGGAATGCTTTCAGCTTACATCAAAAGGAAGCGTTACTTGTTGCATTTCGAATTTCAAAACTAAGAGAGTTAAAAAAAGTTAGGACCTTGGAAACTGATGGAGAACTTTCTTATATTAGTCCTGCATTGTGGTAAATAAAAATGCTCCGAACTTCTAGTGCCATAAGAATGCATCTGGCGTGTCACCAAAAACATGTTATTGAAGCTATAAGGAAGTAAGCCAGATCTGTATTGATACATAAATTTTCCTATTTGAAGTTTGTAGATACTCTCAAGATTCAGAATTTTTAAATTTTAAATAAGGAGTCAGTGTGAGCATCGAAAGCACTCCTCGACATTATTCTTACGATTAATCTTCTGAGGTTTGATGGGTAGGTCGATGTCCAGACGCTCACGCAGTAGAATAAGTATGGGTAGATAAGGCTAAAATAAAGCATCCGTAAGGAGGAATTATTAAGGCAAAAACTTGATTTATAAATTACACCTATGGCTTTAGACCCTTTCCGAGCAACATTATGTATATGTGATTTCCATGTTAAATGTTCATCCAAAATTACACCAAGAAAAGTAGCTTCCTTAACACGATCAATCGAATAATTACTAATATTAAAAGCTAGATCAAGTGTTTGCCTGTTTTGTCTCGGTCTGAATATGATAAAATTAGATTTCTTAACATTTAATTATCCTTCCTTTACAATTTCTTTAAATAAAGTCAGTTATGTTCATCAGTTAGAAAAGAAACTTATGAATTCAAATAACAAAGTTGCCGATCAGGAAAGTAAATGGGAAAAGTTTCAGTTATTCTGCCGCGGTAGTGAGTATGAAGATGCAAAAAAACTTATATCCTATTTTATAGTAGTAATTGTACCTAAACAGTCTTTGTATCAGCCATTATTTATGTATAGTAGGAAGTGTATTTTGTGTACTTGTAGTAGTAGTTTATTGGTATAGATGTAGAAGTGCTTGTGCAAAAAAAAAAATAAAGAAAAAAGAAAGTAACAAGAAAAGAAAAAAAGAAGTAGTATTAGACATCCTTAAGAAATCTTTACCTCCTGAAGAAACAGTTGCAACACGCACCTACATAAAGCAGTGCAACAAACTGTTTACAATATTTAACAACAAATTGGAGGTTGATCCAAAGTGTTATAAAGAACTGTTAAAAATAAAGCTCTGGTTTGATGAATGGTATAAAGAGACCAAACAAGAAAGTTCAAGGGCAACCAATGGTCTAAAAAACCACTGGAAAAAAATTTATACCAAGGATCACATTTGATGACCTAAAGAGAAGTATCAGAGCTTTTCTTGGGGTAGTTCAATATGTTCAAATGCATCATCCAGAATTACACCTCATTCCAAAGACCATGTGCCAGGACGATGTTGAAAATTATTTCTCTTTACAGCAAGCAAGGGTATCCGAAGGAAAACCAACAACGTTACAGTTCTTTGAGTCATCAGCTTCTCTGGAAACTGAACTTCTTCTATCTGCTGAAATGACAGATACACAAGGAACATGCGGTTCATATGATATGACAGCCCTTCCTAATCTGGTTTCTATTTCCCTGATTAAACAAAAACAAACAGCCCCTGACAATTTGAACTATTTTAGTGAAAAAGAGGGATGGGAATTAGGCTATGATGACCAGATGACGCCTGCTTGTGTAGCTGAAGGCACATGGGACTTTGATGAAACCTTCCATGATGCTGCTGACAAACAACAACTATCTCGACATGTCAAGCAAACTGTTTAACATATTGATCTTTTCTCATCTGCTATACCATCCTACAAACATGCCAACCTATTTTGACAGCCTTAAATGCAAATAAGAACCATCAACATGTAATACTCTTTCAAGGGAACTTGACTACCATCTGTGTACTAAGTTTTTTACAGGAAATTGGTCTAACAATTCCCTTCAAAAAGCCATCAATCAACTCAAGGTTGACAGAACACTTTCTTTTTTTTGGAAAAAATTATTGCAAAATATCCTAACTCCAGAATCGCAAATTAAGCTCTCAAGTCAGGTTCTTTCTCCTTTTGTAAGAAAATTTACAAAAAGAAGGTGTGTAACCTATTTCGCTAGAGATGGCCTTGTACCAAAGCATGAAGAGGATGCATCTGCTGTGCGGCAAAAGCTACAGAAGTTCAACCACAAAGCTTATTCAAACACAACATCAAAAGCACAATCAGGTGATATTTGTTTTCGGTGTAAAAAACAAGGTTACTGGGCAAATGAATGCCCTGAAGGACACGAACTAGAGTGGCTGGCTAATCAAGACTGCTTTTTATGTGGAAAAAAGGGCCACCTAAAAGAAGCCTGTCCAAACTTAATTTAAAAAGATGATCATTTTTAAACAAAACTTGAGGAAAATAAGCCCCCAGCAGTAAAACCTTCATGGTACCAGAATAGCACATCACTCATAAAATTGCTTGGTAATCTTTCTGTGAAGAGCACCAGTGATTTCAAATGCTATAAATCACTATCTTCCAAGACTTCAAATCACAGTGACCCAACATTTTACAAACAAAAAACTGCTGAGTGGTTCAATGTTCGTAACGGGGAAAATCAATGGAAGCAAAGCAGCAACAGCTCTTGGCTGGTATGGAAAAAAGGCAATGAATGATTACTAGAGTGATTTGAGTGATGATTTACATAAAGGTGTTCCAACCAAAGAAGAAAATGAATCAAATCTGGCAATGTTATGGGGTTCTATAAATGAAAACAGTGCTCTTGTCACTTGCCTAAATAAATTTTTAGCCGAAAATAAAGATGATCTAGTTTTAAGAGAAACTGGTATTTGGCTTTTAAGTGATGACAAAAATCAGTCATGGCTTGGTTCTTCAACAGATGGCATAATAGATTTAAATGGCAAAAGAGAAAGAGTTCTTGAAATGAAATGTTTTTTCATGGGAGGCAAACCAATTCCTGACAAAAATGTGTGCATAAATTATATTCCTCAAATTATGTTGGAAATGTTTTGTACATCCACTCAAGAACGTCACTATGTTGTTTGGACTTCAATTGGCACTAAAGTATTTCTTGTTAAGAGAGATGACAAGTACATAGAATTGCTAATAAACTACTTTTACAAATTTTGGAATCTTGCCTTGAATGAGGTACAACCTGCATGGCATGAAGATGTATTTGGTCTAAAACAACAAAGTAAGGAGATTGCCACAAAAAGTCACTGTATTAGTTTTATATCTAACTCTCTTACTACCCAAAATGTTTTGTCCCATGGTGATTTGAAGAAGTTTGAGACGATAGACAAACCAGTCCAGAAAAAATGCATTTCTCGAAAATGTCAGGGTTGTAAAGATGAAGAATGGAGATGCAAACTCAACCCTTGCGAGGTACGCAGAAAGAGGTTAAATAGGTCCCAAGGTGTAGTACAACAACCATCTTATCAATCTTATATAAGTATGGCTCTAATGGAGTAGCTGTCATCAAGACAGTTTCCTTGAAATGACCTATCACAGTTTCAAGCGTCATTTTCTTTCTCCTGATGTAAATATGTCACAGGGCCTTACTTCTTTACTTCTTTACTTGATTCCTTTGTATTAAGGGAAAATGGAAAATTTCATGAAAGTAAAATGACATTGTGGAAGTGGCTAAGGGACGAAACATCAAATGGTCATACTTATTATGCCTTTGGCAAAGAAGCTACTCTTGATTCGATCATAATATACAGACTTCTTGAATCTATGCCTGAAGTTCTTCAACTAAAATTTTCACTCAAAACACATTATTCGCAATCATGTAGTAATGACCATAGCCATGACTCATTCCGTACCTTCAGACATAATGTGCTCCCAGTCAGTACTTATGATGTATTAGACGAACATCTCTTTGGAGACTCCACAGAATTTGATATTTTGTTGGGTACATAAGTAATTCTACAATAGGGTACACACCCAACTTGGACAAGGAAAACAACTCACTTCTTATTAATAGCTGTATGTATAAATTGTCTGGCATTGTGTATCTTAAATCGCATCACTACTGGTGTGAAGTATATTCTACCCAAAAAGGTTACAAAAAGGGTAGGTATGTTTAAAATGGTCTATGGAACAGCGGTAAAGGAAGTTTTGTTGGACCAAAACCATTATTTCTTGAAAAAGACAGTTTGTATCTTTTAATGTTTGAAAGAGTTGCAACACAAAGCACATTTACCAGTAGAGTCGCGTTTAACCGACCCAACTGTTCAAATGATAATCTAGTGGTAAAACAAATAATTGAAGTGCACAAAAACTTGCTGATGCTAAGAGACAACAAGACTAGCCGTACAAACCTCATGGCTATTCTTCAACACTACAATATCCCTGCACAAAAATCAAACAAGAAAATAGGAGACCTAAATGAACTGTTACTGAAACACTGCCACTCATTTTTAAGTGTGCCTATAACGTTTGTACCTGATTGTAGCATTGAGAACTACTCTGAGGCTCCTGAACAAAAGAAATCTACTCTACCGGATAAACAACTAAATGAGTTTGTTCCTGTAGCTTTTGTAAATGACTCTATGGTTAACCTCGTCAAAACACAAGAAAATGAAGCAGAAACTCCAGGAACTAAACCGCTTGACTTAAAACCGATGAAACGTGGTTATATGCATGAAAGACATGTACCCAGACGAAAACGTAAAGTGAGTAAACCGCATAATGCAACCAAAAAACTGAAAACTACAGTGAGACGTGAAAGTAAAGAAGATAGAACCATGCATGAGCAATCAACTGAAGTTCAATTGTGTACAGAAATGCCTTCTAGTGATAGTGAAGAAGACTTTGAAAGTGATTTTAATCTGTCGGACAGTTAAGAAAAATTTTTTTCAAGATCAAGCGCAGTATGTCTGAAAATGAAGAGTAAATGCCTTTTGCAAAACAATACAATCATGTCTAATTGGTTTGGTTTGACCAAACATGGCAATAGAAATTAAACCAGAATACATGTATGGCACGTACAGAGAATTTTGAGAGTCTGAGATCAGTGACACCAAACTGCAAAGATGGGAAACGATCATGATCATGCAATTGGATCAACATATTTTAAGCTTTTTGGAAAAGGGATGTCAAGAGCTCCTGATCTGCACCTCGGCCAAGCTTATGGCCACAAAAAAAAAAAACATAAGCTGTCAAAACATGTCCCTCCTCTGAAACAGGTCAGTTGACATCGTGACAAACAACACACAGTACACCACAACCTGTACTAATCTACACCCAACTGGCGAAATTTAATTCCTTACACCACTGGACGTTTCATTCCCCAAAAGTACCAAAGTCTTGTTTTCTGTGACAATAGGGATCTTAAAATCTCCAAATCCAAGAAATCGGAAGAGTATTTCCGTGATAAAATCGAAATTCTTATCTGTCTCTTTGATGAACACTTTGCTTGCCATTTTGAAAGTCACTGACGCGAGACGTGACGCCATACTGGCAGGCGGACTGTACCACAGATTTCCTTGGAGACACCTTCCTCCCCCCGGTTTTACAAGCAAGACCGGCGGTTTCGAATCTTACGATTCTCATCAGTTGCTATGTAGTTGGAAGGTTGAGGTTAACTCTGAACCATTCTGTATTGCTAGATTTCCTAGGGGTATTAAATACCAACCTTGATTTGTTTGGAGGATCGAAAGTGGTGCAGTATGATTGGCTCCTTGCCAGCCAATCAGGTTGCTGTAGGTTCTATCCATTTTGTCCAAAAGCTTGGGTTGTGTAATATGAAAAATCGAAGTCTTGCGATGTCTTATTGTAAGGCATACCGTGGTAATATATATTAGATTTAGTTGTTCTTCAAACATCTGAGGCAAGAAGTTGTACAGTTTTTTGTTAATTTCGTGCAAGACTTCTTGCGTGTGCATTTGTGTACTGTACAAAATTCAAATGTGTTGTTTTCGAGCGGTTTCACTGGCACAGCATGGCACTGCATTTTCATGAGAAAATGCAAGGGGTGACAGGCCGCACATCTATACCGGCGTGAAACCTTGTATTAACCTTTTATATTTCAGCTCTAACGAGCAGTTATAATCTAACTACCCTTAATTAACTGTATTCGATTTTGAAAACACTCTCTTAAACTGTTTGCAAAGTGCACTGTTCTCTTCCAACCCTTCGCGAAGGGCTACTGATGCATAAAACCTAAAACACCCGCTACTCGTAAAATCAAAATTTCACTTTCATCATTGTTTATACGTAAAATGTAAAAGACTCTGTTGCGCTCACCTATTTATTATTGTTCCATGAAAACCGAAAATCGCACGAGTCAGTATTGATATGTTAAAAATCCTGACGCGCCAGTTTCCACAAGTAAGAAAATAAAAAGGAGTTAGTATAAACTAGTAACATGAGTAGAACATGTTACATCGAACTGTATGGGACGCGCCGTTCGCCAGTTTGAAAAAGGAAGTTTGTTTTAAACCAGAAACAGAATTAGGATATGTTACATCGAACTGTATGGGACGCGCCGTCCGCCAGTTCGAAAAAGAAGTTAGTTTTAGACTAGCAACAGGAGTAGAAAATGCTTAATGTAACTGTATGGGACGTGCCGTCCGCCAGTTCAAAAAAGAAGTTAGTTTTAAACTAGGAAAATAGGTAGAAAATGTTATATCGAACTGTATGGGACGCGCCGTCCGCCAGTTCGAAAAAGAAGTAAACTCGACTAGCAACAGGAGACTAGCAACAGGAGAAGTACTTTCTAACTGACACTTTAATAAAAGCTTGTGATCGCCTCGTATGCCAGCGCGGGTCCGAAATCCAAAACACCCATTTGACTTGAACAGATTATCATAGCTTTAATCACAAATCCACAAGCGTAATACATCTCCAAATCGCTAAAGAANACATCGAACTGTATGGGACGCGCCGTTCGCCAGTTTGAAAAAGGAAGTTTGTTTTAAACCAGAAACAGAATTAGGATATGTTACATCGAACTGTATGGGACGCGCCGTCCGCCAGTTCGAAAAAGAAGTTAGTTTTAGACTAGCAACAGGAGTAGAAAATGCTTAATGTAACTGTATGGGACGTGCCGTCCGCCAGTTCAAAAAAGAAGTTAGTTTTAAACTAGGAAAATAGGTAGAAAATGTTATATTGAACTGTATGGGACGCGCCGTCCGCCAGTTCGAAAAAGAAGTAAACTCGACTAGCAACAGGAGACTAGCAACAGGAGAAGTACTTTCTAACTGACACTTTAATAAAAGCTTGTGATCGCCTCGTATGCCAGCGCGGGTCCGAAATCCAAAACACCCATTTGACTTGAACAGATTATCATAGCTTTAATCACAAATCCACAAGCGTAATACATCTCCAAATCGCTAAAGAAGTGAATCTGTCAAACTAGATATAGGATGTACCTACGCCTTTCCGGGCTCTAGCACCGGACCGCGTGCTCGATAACATAACAAAACAAGTGCACATGAGCAGAAATCCGCGACGCATACATGACGTGAAAAAGGGCGGAACACGGGTGCCGCTACATGGCTCCCCTAAATGGAGATCATTTACTTAAAACAGTTCAGATGGAAATCTAATTGTCCTTGATACTGGCTCCTCGGGCGGGGATGACATCCTGGTCTGCGGCATCTTGAGCAAGTAACAAAATCGTTTTGTGGATTGGTCGTTCCAAAATCTTCCGTCTTCCTTCTCGTGTTAATAGGAGTTGGACCTTGCGAATACGACCGTCTTTGCTAGAGAAGACCTTAGTCACACGTGCAAGCGGCCACTGGTTTCTTGGCAAGTCGTCGTCCTGAAGTAGGACTATATCTCCTACTCTACTGTCCCGTTGGGGTGTATTCCATCTTCGTCTCTGCTGAAACTGTGAGGAATATTCTGAGCGCCACCTTATCCAAAACTGACTGGCCAAGAACTGTACACGGCGCCACCTCTTTCTTGAGTATAAGTCCAACCGTTCAAAACAACCAGGTGGGGGCAGCACAACCTCTGTCTTTGAAGTTAGTAGATAATTAGGAGTTAAGGGTTCCGGAGACTCGTGGTCAGATAGGTTTTCAACAGTGAGCGGGCGGCTGTTAATCACATTTTCTGCTTCTGTCATTAAAGTGCGTAATGCTTCATCATTTAACTGACTTCCATGCTCATGGAGCAAGACTGAAAGAACTGATCTGACTGTCCTGATGAGTCTCTCCCAAGAGCCTCCCATATGAGATGCCGCGGGTACGTTCAGGTTAAAGTCGATCCAATCACATTCCTTTGTTAAGAGGAACCCCTTAACACGGTCACGGTTGAGCTCTTGTAAGGCAGCGGTGAGTTCATTCCTAACTCCAACGAAATTTGTTAACAACAACAACAACAACAAATTTTATTGAAAATCGGAAAATAACTAATTACATTACTTTCCCACCCGCAAATAGCTTATGAACTAATCGAGGCGGGGGGAGCTGAACACAATTTACAAAACAAGATTTATATATAGATGGACTAAATAGCAGTGAAGACACTACAATACAGTAAATAGAATTTAAACTAACATAAAACAAGGCATGTACATAACGATTACGAAGAGAGGCTAACCTAAAGTATTAAATAACTTAATAAGACGGGAGACTTCGACATAATCATCTTCTGACCGCAAAAAATTTAGTAATNGGTCGTTTCAGCCTCAGACACAACATTATTAACTTCCGTAGTTTGCTTCCGATCAGTCAGGTATGATCTGAACCAGGAGTTGATTACACCTCTAATACCATAATTTTCAAGTTTAGCTAACAAAATTTCATGGTTAACAGTATCAAAAGCCTTTTTGAGATCGATGAAAACACCGCACGAAAATTTACCGTTGTCCATGTTTTGGAGAATTGTGTTAACAATATCAAGTACAGCATGCTGAGTACTGTGCTTACTGCGAAAACCGTATTGCTGATCATAGAGAATGTTGCAATCTTTGACAAACTTGGTAACTCTGGAGTACATAAGTTTTTCAAAAATCCTGTTATAAATCGAGAGCAGAGAAATAGGTCGGTAGTTTTCGGGCAGCGTGTCATCTTCGTCCTTAAATATCGGGATAATCTTAGCACACTTTAGTTTAGATGGAAAAATCCCTGAGCAAATAGACTGATTAAAAATCGTGGCTAGAGGTACGGATATGACCCTTTTTGCCAATTTCAGCAGCCTAACTGGAGATGAGTAAAGACCATGGGCCTTGTTGTCTTGCAAAACTGAAATTTCTAAATTGATATCTTCCGGAATAATAGGATCAAAGAAGAAAGTGCGATTAAGTGGCGGATCTAAATAATCATAGAATGTATTTATGGTCTGAGGAATTTTAGAAGCCAGTTTGCTCCCAACAGTGGCGAAATATTTGTTAAGAATATTGCTTATTTCCTTCGGATCACTAGTTGGAACCTCATTCGGGTTTGAGCGAATAGAGTTAGTTGAGTTGCGCTTGTTTTTCTTTTTACAGTTTCCAATTAGCTCGTTAATTCCTTTCCAAGTTTGACGCGAACGTAGTTCGAACGTAGTTCGCGTACCTTTCCTCGTCTGTTGATAAAACGGCGTAAGGCACTAATGAAAGAATCTGTTTCCATTGTATTGAGAGTCTCAAGATGAACAGCGCGTGACGCCAGACACGTGAAGATCAAGCCATAACGCTTTAGAGTCTTGCGTCCTTCTTTAACGTAAAAGGGACCGAACACATCCATGCCTGTGTAGTGGAAAGGAGCAGCCTGTGTAACACGCTCTTCCTGTAGATCGGACATTTTCTGTGTTTGCAGTTGGCCGCGAAATCGACGGCAAGTGACACACTTAGAGATAGTTCTGGTCACAGTTGAGCGCCCGTCTACTATCCAGTACCCAGTTTGCCTGATTGTGTTGTGGGTGACTCCACGTCCTTGATGGTGGCCAACCGATTCGTGAAAGTATCTTACGATCAAGTCTGAGATGTGACTCTTCTTAGGCAAGATCAACGGGTGTTTAACTTCAAGGGGAACATCTGCTCGTCGGATACGACCACCAATCCTAAGCAGTCCGTTTTTGTCAACAAAGGGATCTAACTTATAGAGAGAGCTCTTCTTCTTCAAAGTGTCGTTTCTGCGGCGCGCAGAGTCTCGTTCTTGGAATTTCTCCAAATTACCTTTGAGGTTTGTTAGTGTTTCCATCTCATGGCTAAAATACTGGCATTGGAGACAACGCAAAATAAACTTCTCGGAGTGGACCAATTCTTCAACTGAGAGAGGTAAGAACTGCTTTCCCTGTTCATTGCGCGATCTTCCTGAGTGTTTTGCGGAATGAATCTCTTCTTTACGTGCTGCTATTACGGACTGGAGATTCTTTATTCCTCTTCTCATCCAGGCGACTGTCGTTTTTGCTTTGTGCCAGGAAGAAACGCGATTCAGATATGAAAGAAGAAGTAAACCAGGATATTCTCGAGCGGAAGAGTGCGTCAAGAGGCAGGTATTTGTCTTCACTTCAACATCATCAGAAGAGAGCTGAGCTGTGTTTTTCTTGTTAAGAGGTGGTACATCGCTTTCCCATAGAAAGGCTGGCCCTGAGAGCCATCTCTTGTTGTTAAGTAACTGACTGGCAGTGAGTGAACGAGACGCTTCGTCCGCAGGATTATCCTTTCCTGGCACGTGATGCCTCTGTTCCGGGTCGCTACGATCACGGATGTGCTGTACTCTGTTTCCGACATATACGTGAAAACGACGAGCTTCATTACTTATGTAGCCGATGACTACCTCAGAGTCTGTGTAATAAACAGATCGTAAATTCTCGTAGTCGAGTTCACTGCAACATCTTCGTTACATTGACTGATACGACGGCCGCTGTCAGTTCCATACGGGGAATAGATATCGGCTTGATAGGAGCTACTCGTGACTTGGCTATGAGGAAACTCACATGAACTTCTTCTTTAGAGTTGACTGTTCGAAGATATGAGACTTGACCGATTCCTGATTCGCTTGCATCCGAAAAACTGTGTACTTCAGCTTGGACTGGACTTCCGAAGCCAGGCGGTTTAACACAGCGGTTGAGTTTGACTTTCTCTAACAGCGGTAGTTCGGTGCGCCACCTCTCCCAACGAGCGATAATTTCATCAGGAAGCGAGTCGTCCCAATCCACCTTTTGGCGACAAAGGTCTTGCAAAATCTGCTTACTAGTCAGGATTACTGGTGAAACTATCCCCAAAGGGTGGTATACTGAGCTTATCGTAGAAAGGATACCCCGACGTGAAAGTGGTTTATCGTTCAGTTCTATGCGGAAACCTAAAGTATCCGATTCTATGCACCAATAAGTGCCTAGAGATCGCTGGACTGGTAGAGCATCGTGGCGAAGGTCAAGATCTTTGAGGTCTCTTGCACGATCGTCTTTTGGAAGGGCCTCTAAGACATCCTTTCGGTTGCTGGCGAACTTGTGAAGTCGTAATTTCGCTGACGCACAGAGAGCCTGACTGTCCTCAATCAGTTCTATGGCTTCTGAAATAGTGGGGACCGAAGTAAGGCCGTCATCCACATAAAAGTTTCTGCACAGAAAATCAGCTGCCTTGTCACCGAACTCGGCACGTCCAGTTTCTGCTGTCTTGTGAAGACTATAGTAGGCTACGGCAGGAGATGACACTGCTCCAAAGAGATGTACATTCATACGAAATTCTGAGATGGCACCATCCAAGTCATTATTCTCAAACCACAAAAAGCGGAGGAAGTCTCTGTGGCTTGGTGTAACGTGAAAGCTATGGAACATTTGTTCTATATCACACGTGAGTGCTACATCTTCCTTGCGGAATCTGGTTAATACCCCGATGAGAGAGTTCAGCTGGTCTGGTCCTTGTAAAAGGTTCTTGTTTAAGGACTGGCTGTTGTAAAGGGCGCTACAATCGAAGACTACACGTACTTGATCGGGTTTCTTGGGATGGTACACGTCAAAATGTGGGAGGTAACACACTTTGCCAGGCGTTGGCGTCAGTTCGTTGTCTGGGACACGACTTGCGTGTTGACGTTCTAATATCTTCTGCATAAAGGCGATGTAATTCTCTCTTGCTCTCTCGTCCTTACATAACTTTCTTTTCAGCGATAGAAGTCTTCTTAGACACTGTTCTCTGTTATCTGGAAGTTTGACTTCATCTGTCTTGAACGGAAGTGGTGCCTCCCAGTTTCCTAATTGATTCTTGTGCATTTCTGCAGTCATAATTTGGAAGAACCGTTTGTCTTCAATCGACTCAACTTGCTCGTTCGCACAAATTTTGCGCGAGTAATTCAGTTCACTATAGTCCAGTTCCATCATCTCGCGAATTATTTGGAGGCTGGTGACATCCTTCGACCGGAGCTTATTGACGAGAACGGCTACAGAATCTTGCTGATGGAGAGGATTAGAGGCGTGAGGGACGTTCAGAATTCACGAGTCCGGTAGTTCTTCTCTTTGAACGGTAACGCGATTGACTGATATGCTATTACATTCTTGGGATTTCGCTTTATCCAAGCAGACAGGACCGATGATTGTCCATCTAAATTTGTATTTCTCTGCCCAAGGCTCGTCTGCTTCGCCATAAATAACTTTCAGGGGTTGGAAGGCGCTAAGTACATTTCTTCCAATGAGCATGCCGATTTCTATGTCAGACCTATAATGTATCTCATCGGCAACATCCTTCAAGTGATCCCACTGTCTCACTATGTCAGAAGTGGCAATGTCGCTGTGTGTTGCTGGGATCTTCGGTTGAGCATAGGCATAAGGAACTTTAACGGGTGAATATTCGCCGTTTATATCTTGGATTTGAAGGCCGGGGACTCTTCGCATTCTGACAGTGTTGGTGCCCACAATCGTGTTTACTTGAAGGTTAACTTCTGCGCCACTTAGATTTAATTTGCTTTGGAGGGCATCTGTAATGAACACTTCCGTTGATTGGTCATCCAGGACAGCGTACGTTAAGGTTTCCTTAAGAGGGTTTGACTGGTCCGATACTTTCAACAAAATAATCCTAGGACAAGAACGACGGGGTCCGTCTTTGCACACTCGAGTACAGGCGGATGAAGCTTCGCTGGAATTGTTTTCTGCCCTTGACGCGTCGTGAAGGGCTGTGACATGACTCCTTCCGCATATTTTGCATTGAGGGCGACCTTTATCACAATGTTTGCTGATGTGCTTGTTTGAGCTTGCGCAGTTAAAGCAGAATCCTTTTTAAACAGGAAGTCTTTTCGCTCACTGAAATCGAGCTCGCGAAATTTCTGGCAATTTTCAAGATCATGAGACTTAGTTCTGTGATAGGGGCAGAATGCTGTATTGACAGTTGAAGCTGTACCAAGACTATCAGGAGTGGCTGCTGACTTAGAGTCTTTTGAGATACTCTTTGTTGGGCTACGTTCTCCGTCCGGTGAAGACTGAGTTGCTAGAGCTGTAATTTGCGAGCCTTGTCCTGTGGAGGTCTGTGATCCTCTGTGGGAACTAGTTGACTGGTTGGAAGCGGCTCTCTGGTTAATACTACCAAGTGATGCTTGTGAGATTTGGGGAATGTTCATTCGCTCGGCATGAAAGTTGACTTCCTTTACAAACTCGGAAAAGGATGGAAAGGCACTGTGACCATCTGTTTGCTGTAACTTCTGAACTTTAGTTGACCACTTGGTTTTAAACCAGCCTGGAAGTTTTTCTACAAGACTCTGAAGTTTCGATGAAAAGTCAAAGATCTTTAGACTTGGTATGTGATCTCTCGCTATCTCCACTTGTTGCAGAAAGTCACTGAACTCTTGTATTCCCTTCGCATCACTGTTCCCAATTTTGGGCCAATTGGTGAGCCTTTTCTCAAAGTCAGCACTTAGAATTGCGGAATTTCCAAAACGGTATTTCAATCTTTTTCTCAATTCTTTGTAGGCCTTTTCAGGGTCGTCAATCATGAATTGAAGCTGTTCAACTACCTTCTTAGCTCTGCCTTCTAAATGCTGGAATAGAAGGTGCAATTTCTGCCGCGGGGTGACTGGTACCGAGTCTATGAGAGCATCAAACGCGGACTCCCATAGAAAGAATTTTGTCTTGTCTTCTTCTTCTCCCCTGAAGACATCCGGTTTCGCTTGGGGTAAGCGATGGAGTTGGGTGACCTTAGCTTAGGCTTCCGTGATTTGCTGAGTATTATCTGGTGATGGCAAAACGTACACAGGACTAGGCTGAGGGGGCTGCGATTGAAGCGAAACGTAAAGTGGAGGGTTTCCATAAAGGCTTTGGGGAGTGAAATCCTAGTAAGCCTGCTGATACATGACAGGGCTGGTTCCCAAACCTTGTTGGAGTGAAGTAGTCAGATATGCACCGTGGGGTGTCATGGGTGTCGATGAAGTGTAACCTCCTCCGAGATACGCAGAGTGTTGAGTCACAGGGGGTAAAGACTGTGATACAGAAACTGAGGACTGCGTGACGGCAGGAACTGAAGAAACTAATGGCCGCGAACCAAGTGCTGAAGTCTGTGTTACAGAAACTGAAATAGGTGCTGAAGACCGCGTGAGGAAACTAGAAGACTGCGTGACAGGTGACGAAGATTGTGTTACATGACCTAATGACTGTGTGACAGACGTTGAAGACTGTGTTACAAAACTTGATGGCTGCGTGACAGACGTTGAAGACTGTGTTACAGAACTTGATGACTGCGTGACACGTGTCGGGGACTGTATTGAAGAAGAAACTTGTGGCTGCTTTTCGAGTAGTGAAGATTGCTTGACAGAACTTGACGTTTGCATGACACTTGCTGAGGAATTTGTCACATGAGACGAAACAGAAGCAGAAGGTTTTTGTTCGTACAAAAGACTGTCTATGATGCTTCCAAAGCCCTTGGGTGTCACCTGTGAAAGCGACTCGTCTTCGTTATTTTCATCTCCCGCATTTAAAGCTACTTGATAAACGGCTTCTTCGGCGAGTGTCTCACTTAGTTCTTGTTGAAGCTTTAGCTTAGCGAGGGTTTTCTCTTGTTCTTTGATCGTGTCAGCAAATATTATCTTTCGTTCTAGAGCAGCTCTTTTGGCCTTAAGGCCTAGCAATTTGCTTTGAGATCCGGGATCCGTAAGACAAGTTTGATTTTCTTTCCTCCTTTACTTCCAAAAATTCCAGGCGACTAAGCGCCGTGGCGCGAACTTCCTCCCAGGAGCTTTGAAGCTCGTATTGCTGCCGAGTTATTTCATTTATCTCCTCTGCTTCCACCGTTAGGTTCATCCAGTCGATAAATCCTTGTATTGCATTGTCTGCAAGGCCTTTAAGCTTTTGTAATTCGCTTCGTATAAAATCAGGGTTGCCAATATCATAAATTGATTTCTCGAAGGATACGAGCTGGAGACGAAATTCTTCCTTTCCTTTCAAGGCCGCTTTTCTCTTTAGATGTACCGTAAACTCACGACCTCTATCGGTCATCTTACGAACACGGGTAGGTCTACAAGCAAACTGATCCAGGTTGCAGCAGTCGACAACAAACTTGACTAAACTAACGTTCCTTTGAACCAAAGGCTTTGACTATGCCAGCGCGGGTCCGAAATCCAAAACACCCATTTGACTTGAACAGATTATCATAGCTTTAATCAGAAATCCACACGCGTAATACATCTCCAAATCGCTAAAGAAGTGAATCTGTCAAACTAGATATAGGATGTACAATTTATATACAGAAAAACTGGAAAACGGCAAACAGAAAGGTAAAAACTTACGCCTTTCCGGGCTCTAGCATCGGACCGCGTGCTCGATAACATAACAAAACAAGCGCGCATGAGCAGAAATCCGCGACGCATACATGACGTAAAAAAGGGCGAAACACGGGTGCCGCCACACCTCGCCCTTCAAAAAATGGCCACAGCCGTCTCTGTTGAGTCTCGTGCCCAAAATCAAAGCTTCGTGTCCACTGAAAATTAACTTAAAGTTGGGGCCGCAAGCCGGTTCAAAGCTAGAAGAGTATTTTTGTCAGGATTGAAAAGGTCTGGCTTTCCGCGCAAAATACATATTTTAAGCACGGAAGGACACGAACATGTTGCGATCTAGCACCTCTCCCACAGCTTAAACATTCTTTACCTTTGTGTGTCAACATTCTAGCTCGTATTCTTGATTTGGCCAAGTTTTCTCACGTAAAAATATTAAAATGTTAAATTACAATGTTTTTTTTCTCATGAGGTTATAATAACATAGGAACTTCATGTGTTATTCAGCTCTAGAGCATGTCTGGCAGCTCAAAATTCATGGGAATCCTCGAGGCCAAGCAAATGAACCATTAAACAAGGCACCGTCCTTAAAAAAATCACAGTTAACAAAGCGAAGAAAACTTTATCGAATGTTACCGGATCTGCGAAAAAGCGAATCGAATTAAAGTCGCAGCGAAATAAATTTCTTTACTGTGCAACGGTTGTTTTCACCGAGAAACTAATTAAATATTTCAATTCTTACCTCAGAGCAATCGTCTTTTTTTGCCTTCCTTTCGCTAACAATGAGAAAAATCCAGCATCCTCCCTTGATATTTGGCCGCATGTGTTAGTTGTAGCCGAGTGTGAACATCCACCACACATTCTGATATATTCTCACTACGTCCAAATATCACCTGAAATATAAACAGTTCCCGAGAAAAAGAAGCGACGAGGAGGTGAAATGCTAGATCCACGCCAAGGCAATGTACTCCAGTAACAACGCAGGCGTTGTGGGGAACCGAGTGATTTTAGGTACTTTCAAAGCACGCAAACAAATTATTCTGGCGCAAATTGAAGATTATCTTGCAATGTATGCTGACATTTAATACATTGAAAAGTCTCGCCATGTCACTGAAATTTTAGCACTTTCGAGGAGTGTGAAATATTAAATGGGATTAAGTGCCTACAAAGCTTATAACTCTGTATGGTGCTGTATAGCCTGTTCCAGGCTCCGAGATGGTGGTGGAAAGTCGTTCATACTATACTATCTGAGAGCCTGGCACAGGCTAGGTGCTGTACTTCCAGTAAAAACCCTCTGCGTCCTCTCATGGACCGTTCTTATTAAAAGATCCGTTTTTTGCAGAATTTCCATCGAGTTATCACAGTTAGGGAAGTAACGAGATAAAGATGGCGCTTAAATGAAAAGCAAAGTGAGTTAGCACAAGTTTAGCATCGACCATCGAGGTTCTCCTTGAGAAAGTCGAACGCAGCAACACTCTGCGTACTGCTTACGTTATGGACTTTTCCAACACATTGAGTCTCATCTCGGCAAGACACATCCTCAATGAAGTGAAAATTCCAATAGCGTTTCTTTTCAAGCGGAACTAGTCGCCTAAGTTGAAGCTTAAACTAGTCACTGATTCGCTTAGCTTCAGTGCTAGTTTCCACTTATTTCATACGGACGTCGCTCTATATTCATAGGACTTATGGCCACCAGTAGTAGGAAGAACTGGAATGCTTAACATTTCAGAGTTCCTGGTTGTCCGGCTGATCCTTTTGCGAACTTTGATGTTAAGTACGCCGGCCGGGCACACCCGGTCATGCAATTAAATACTAAAACCGCAAGTCGAAACTATAGTCGTTGCTTGGCTGGGAGCCAACGCAAGCCTTTTAAAAATGACTGAAAAGTGGGGTGGAATCCACGGGTCGAGTTCGCGGGGAGTTCGAGTTATCTGAGTTCGAGTTATCGGGGTTCTATTGTATATATGACTCAATTTGTGTAAACATGGCTTCGGTGAGGTCTATACTAAGTGTGTCCTTGGTGCCAAGACATTGACCCTCCTCACCGTGGACAATGGATGACTGTCTGCGCCTCCCACTGAGCTCTGCAATTATCATCATAATCATTCCAGGCCTGATTCAGCTGGCTAGGGCAAATTAAGAACAAGGTTCTTGCCAGTCAAAGCCTCTAGTGAACACTGCTGCTTACTAAAGGGGTTGTGTCAAAACAGCACCCTCCCTACTTGACTTGTTTTGACCCCAAGGCCTTATCCACCCACCTACTGTTAGGGCAGTCCCTGGGCTATTCAGCTGTACCGACCAAGACAGCAAGCCCGTTACTTTTTTGGACACCGGACTGGCCTGGAGCCGTGCTGCGCCTGGCGCCAGACGAAAACCTAGTGGCCAGCTGATTTTGACGAAATCAGACAGATATATATGTCCCGTATTGTGTCACGTTGTTTTTACTCAAAGTTCCGCCAGTGTGGGATCGTCTCAAAATCTACAGAGGAACCTCCATGTAGCTCCATGAGTGATCTCCCTTCGTAAGCGACCACGTAAGCTCCATAAGCGAAATGACACCAATCAAAGACACCAAAAACGTTTCAGTCAAAACCTTATAGTTGGAAACCTCTCGTAAGCGACCGTAGGCTACGAGCAGTAGTCCGTCGAGCGACACACGCAAGACACGCAAATGACCATGCACGTGGCTGAAGGCGCGAGACGGGAAAGCCTCGTTTTTCGCGCGCTCGCGTGCACTCCCCTCACTGAATTTGGAGAAAAATACCGGAGACTGCTCTCAGTCGAAAGCTATTTCGACCACCTTTGTGGGTGACCATCTTATAATTTTCCATTGCGCAGTTTCAAGCTCTTGTAAGCGAGCGTTTAACTCTATGTTGGTTCTATGCTCTCATTGAACTACTATAGTGTGGTCATTGAATACTGTCGTGGTCATTGAACTGTTGTGTGGTCACTGCAATGATTGTCTTTTAATTTTCTGAACTATGCACACAAAACACAAAAACAAGAAAACAATTTTAGAGTGGATTCATTCAGAGTTTCTTGTCAATGATTAAAAGGTCTTAAAACTATTTTGGCAATTCTCCACCTTAACCTTAAAATGTCATTTACAATTATATTTGACATGTAACATATTTCCATTGAGATCTTGTCGCCATTTTGTGTTGTTATGTCCGCAATTTGTGGCCATTTTTGCGGCTGCTTGATTAGGGGCACGATTAATGGACGACACAACTAAGCCTCGGTCTCCTTCCGACTCTGATTCCGACTCTGATTGCGACTCTGATTGCGACTCTGATTCCGACTCTGATTCCGACTCTGATTCCGGCTGTTGTTCCGCCTCTTGTTCCGACGTTTCAGTATAATTCTTAATTGCTTCTTCAACTATTTTTGCAAAGTCGTCTATATCATCTAAATCATCTTCGACTCGGTACCATTCTGTTCCTCCATCACAATCAAGGCGAAGCTGTTCGCTATTCAGTTTAGCTTTGGCCGCATTTTCCGCCTCAATCATGTTGGAAACCCACCAGGTATATTTAACTGTCAATTCGTGAGGATTTCCAATATTAAGTGTCTTTCTTCGTTGATTGTAATCGCTTGTCCAGCCTATCTTCGCGAATGGTGGCGCACTGTGGCCTTCGCAGTCCTCCATAATCATGATATAAATATAGCCAGGGTCAGTTGGTTGCACTCTGTCACTTGATCTGGCCTCATCTCTGGTGGGTTGTAGCCACTTTGTGGAGTTCACATCTGTTTCGTTGTAAGGAAAACAAAAGCAACACGATTTTCTTACTTTAAAATTCCGAAACATCGGGAGTGTAGAGTAGAAGTGAGTTTGATTCAAATAATCAGGATCGAAATTTCTTAGGCTCGATAATAGTTTCTTAGAGTCACTTTTTTCGGGTGCGCAAGTACCCTCTAACCCTAAAGAAAAAGGCTCGTCTACTTTCTATTTTGTTTATGTGAAGCACTCGGCTGCTAATCAGACTGATGCGGTCGTTGCCATGCAACGCTGTATATCGGACATTCCTACGTGGATGCTTACGGATAAGGTCAAACTTAATGATGACAAAACAGAGTTCATGTTGATTGGTACAAAATACCTTTCCATAGCCTTACCGTAGGAAGCATTGACGTTGCTCCTGTCACTGTGGCAAGAAATTTAGGGACATGGTTCGATTCTAACTTGAATCTCCAGGGGCAGATCCACAATACTTGCAAATCTGATTTTTTCCATATATACAATATTTGGCGTATCCGAAAGTATCTGTCCCAGGAATCAGCACGCACTTTGGTCCATGCTTTTATCATTGGTCGTATAGATTACTGCAACAGCCTTCTCTTTTCAATTTTTTACCCTCTGTTCGTCTACTTAAACTGCAACGCTTCCAGAATGCAGCTGCTTGGCTTATATCTAATGTTCCTCGCTACAGTCACATAACACCAGTACTATGATCGTTACATTGGCCTCCTGTCAAATTTCGTATTGATTTTAAAATACTTCTTCTTACTTTTAAAGCTATCTACGGTCATGCGCCTGGTTACTTAATTGATTTGATCGCTATTAAAGAACAGCCGCGCGATAACTTCCGTTCAGCTAGCGGTCTTGTATTAAAGTATTCCGGTTTAAAACTGAAAATGACTTTATAGGGGACCGTGCTTTTTCATCTGCTGCCCCTAATTTATGGAACAATCTACCACTCGACATCCGTCTTGTGGACAGTTTCGAACGTTTTAAGAGTGAATGTCCGTAAAAATCAAACAAAAATCGAAAATTCGTGGCCACAGTCAAAAAATCGATTCTGCTCATTTTTTGTCCAGGGAAAGGCTAAGGTACTACCTTCAGTAATATGGAACTAGTTATTTGAAATACGCTTTTCTTTTGAAATAAACGGTTAAAAATAATTTTGCCGTATTTGACTATGCGCCAGCCCAAAATTTCACTATGTTCAAAATAATCGTGTTCGATCTAAAACATAGTAGCCAGTCTTCTTTTGCTATAACTATTCAGTAGGGCCTTTTTTTTATTAAAATATATGGATAGTTTTCGTCTCAGGTTATTTCTGTAAGAAATAAATTCGAAATCAGAGGGAACATTTACAGCCCTTCAAGGACATGCAAAAGTAGGGTTAAATCATCGCGATGGAAAGGCATGTGGTAGTGACTGAAAATCGTTGATATTGCTTCCATAAATTCCTAAAATACAGTCCTTAAAAGTTACAGTTTTGTTTTTCTGGGATCTTGTAAAGTTTTCGAGCGGGCGCCGACCGAATTTCCATAATATCGCAATGCTGACCTAAGATTTAGGTCACAAACATCAAGGCGTCACGCGATAGATTCGAGATAGATAAATGACAATTTTGGCTCATTTATAGTCATCTGTTGTTATTGTGTTGCTTAAATGATACAGGAAAGGTAAAATAGTGTGTTTTTCAAAGTGTTGCCTTCATTCTCGACTAAAACTGTAAAATAAAGAATCGATTTGCAGATATTCAATTAACCATTGGTTTGAAAGATTTTCCTTACTTTCTTTAATCACAACCCGCGGGGCCGGGTTTTTGAAAGCTACAATGGGTGAAGATAACCCAATGTTACTGCAAAATTTGATTGTAGATAGAAAAGCTGGCTTAAAAAGCAAATTCATTTTTTTAATTCTTTTTGTCAGTCTAAAATTTGATGATTGGATGCTCTAAAAAAAAATAGTGAACATTATCGGATAAAGTGCTTTCGAACAATAGAAAAGAAACCGGCCCTTTTCAAAAATTTAACGGCTCCTCCAAGGTTAGCGCTAAACCGGCCTTCCATGGTGAAGTAAAATTAAGCACACATCTCTGAAGTACATTAACTTTAAATCACAGTCAGAATAAAACTGCTTCTAAAAAATATTGTCTTTGCTTCGGAAGGAAGCTAGATCACCACTGTCGCTCCTACTGGCTGGAAATTTAAGATTAGTTAAGGATTAGCTTAGGTTGTATAAGAAATAATAATAAATTATAATTATAATGATTATGATAAAACATTCGAAATAAAAAAAACTTTTTAACTTCTCGAAAAGTACTAAGTAAAATAGTCACACTAAAATGAAAGGAAGGAAGCTTACCAAATGTTCACAGACGATTTTTTGTCTTTGCCTCTTGCTGGTCTGCGATGGAATGGAGCTTAACAATGACTTAATCCTTTTAATAGCCGGTACTAGAGAATAAACGTGACTGGTTTTCTAACCTCACTGTAGCCTGCGAGCAAACTCTTTCCAGGAGAGCTTGCTCGCAGTTGAACCTCACTGGTACTTAATGACCTTAAATAAGCGCAATTGAATAATTTTAATTAACCGTATAACTAGGCTTTTTTTCGCTATTTAGAGAGAGTAATAGTGACAAACCAAAACAAATCTCTGTTGCAAGGTATAACATAAGTAAAAGAAAAGTAATGAAGTTTAAAATTTGTCAAGAAATTGGGACTAGCTGAAAAGCTAAACGAATGGATGGTTTGCCGGTGTCCGTGTTCATGCAAGTCATCCTGGTAATTATGACGGGTGCATCTCTTTCTTCCAGTCTTTACTTTATTTTGATATGATTGGTTGATCCTGAATGTTTTTTGTGTAATCTTGTGATAGTTATCCTGGATAGTATCGTGTCAAAAGGATGAGCTAAAAACGCTAGATACGCTATTGTCTCTTCATTATATTTTCCCTTTTTCGTATAGAATATTTGTAATATTTCACCCTGTGAAAATTTACTAGTACCTAAGGATCTAAGACCCAGGGGTGTTCTAGTCAATGAACAATTATCTGTTTAACATTATTAGCTAAAAAACGGATTAATATTGCAGCGTATCATGTAAATGAAATAAAAGTTGAAGTTAAGAAACTGGCAAGACGTTTAGACTTGCGAAAAGCTCAATCAAGTGGATGGTGTACCGTGTCATTTGTGAATGCAAATCGTTTTCGTAACTATGGCTGGTGCCTCTAAATTTCTACGAAAATTTGCTTTATATTGTACTGATTCAGAAAACTAGGTGTCATTCTTAGACTCACAAAGCCACGTAACTGCTCTGAAGTAGGGAGCTTAAGCAACAGCGACGACGACGACTATGAAAACGTCGCTTAAAAAGTGTATTCGAGCTGATTCAAACTTTACTCACCCTTATTCCACCTTGTCAATTTGTCAAATGTTGGCAAATTTTTCTGGAGTTGAATCTAGTAGTGCGTTTCCCGAGGGCGCAGCCGGGCGGTTGTGGGGTTGTGAGGTTGTGGACTTTAAAAATGGTTTACCTGGTGCCGACTCAGTACTTTTTCATACAGTTACAACTCATCAACCATTTTTTTAATAGTTACTTTAACAATTAAACGAGAAAGGAGTTAGTAACAAAAAAGTGTAACCATGCACAGCACAATCTTAATTTTCGCGTGTTTCATTTACTTCAAAAGTTTCTCCTTCCTCTCCTTACGGCTGTTTAGAACCTTTCTTTAGTCATTGTTGAATGGAAAATTCAAGCGAAGAATTAATATCAGAAGCAAGAGTACTACAAAAGAGGGTCTTACAACACGAGCCCTCGAAGGTTTGTTTTTCTCTCTGTTGAAACCTGAGGTTTGAAACATGTGCTTTTCCAGTCTATGCTATATGCTTTATTGAAATTGCTCACCTGACGATAAATCAAGTGGCGTTTAGATAAAAGCGTTGGACAAACTGAAAATGGAATAGAACACGGTTTTGTTAAACACAGGTTAAAATCTGTTTAAATAAGTGGCCCTTAGCTTTGGAAACAACATAAAGTGAAACTTAGTAGAAAGAGCTAGAGACGACTAGTCATCCAATATTCGGAGTCAGTAACGTGAAAATGATTTGCACTGAGCACATGGCACCGGCACCGTCGACTCGAGTAGCTAATCCAAATTTCTTGCAAAATTTGTAATTTCATGAAACTTTCTTTTTTTCCTTAACCCTGAAACAGAGATTACAGCTAGTCTTAACCTTAAATATGGTTAAATTTGCTTGTATTGAATAATACAATCAGTAAGAAGAAGAAATAAATATGACGAGATTATGAAGGGAATGAACCAGATCAGCTCAACTGACCACAAGAACAAAAACGTTCATGTTTCATGAAGAACAGTCATTTAACAGTCAATTAATTTAAAAAAAGATAATAAAATAAAGGTTTTTTTACCTTTAAAGAGAGGCAGCTGTCAAATGATTAGCACTGGCACACGATCCTTTCGATTAGCTTTTCAACTTTTTCAAGCTTCTGGACCAAATTTGTAAATTACTTTATTATAACTAACAACTTTACATTTATTTATATTAACACACCGCAACAGAGATTATTGTTTAGTTTGTCACTATTATGTTGTTGTCGAATAGGTGGAAAAAGTTAAAAAGTTAAACATTTTAATTAAAATTGAAACTCCGGGGCCTTGAGGTCATTAGGTACCAGAAAAACTAAGATAAGGAATTTTTGAATGAATGTCAAATTTCACAAATGACATCTACCACAATCATAAAATTTTACCTGTGTTTTCATAATTCTTGTGAAATTTGACAAAATAGTCTTTGGTGTTATTACAGATAACTAATTATAATATCTATAGCCCTTGAGAAATGTAAAAAAGAATGCGATATTGTTTATTAAATTATTCTGGTACAAGGCTTTTGTTCACTGAAAATTGAAATTACTCAATTTCCTGATGGGTTCCGTCTTAAGCAAAGTTACATGACTTGCAGTGATTGTACCTTTTCAGTTAATGCTTATTTCTATTTTTCAGTCCGTTTAATCATCATATTTCGCTTTTTTTCGTTTGTTCGTTTTTATTTATCCTGAACACTTTAACTTCAGATTAGCCTGTTGGGTAGCTACCTAACGTATACACAACCCTGAATGCCTATGTCATAGAAAATACGTGAGAAAATATCGATAAAGACACGACAATAGCGAATTGGAAAGCGCCAGCGTATCAGCTCAACCATTGTATCTAGAATGACTTTTACAAAATTTCCCTTAAAAAACCTTATATAACAAAATGTCACTCAAAAATTCTTAGAGGAACAATTATCTTAGAAAAACATCGAGTTGTGAAGACAAAATAGGGCACCAGTCACAGTATTTACCACGGACTGAACTTGGATTAAAAAGTCATATCGGACACCGACACACAGTCCACTCGACAAGGTTTTTTAATTAGCTACTCCAAACTTGTTGCGAAATTTGTATCATATTCTTCAATTTTTCTTTTTTTACACAATGGGTCTTGCCATAGAGATTATTGTTTAGTTTGTCACTGTTGGCCTGTTCATGCATTTCGTGAAAAATAGTTATACATGCACAGTTAATTGTTTAATTGCAATCATGAATGAAGGTCATTGAAGTAAGGAAACCCCGACATAAAAAGGGCTATGTCGTCAATTTTTAGCTTCATTCCATCCCGGACCATCAAGAGGTACATTGGTAAGCTTTCTTCCCTTTTTTTCACACAAATATAATTTTTACGATGAGCACTTATTTGTTATTATTATTATTATTATTATTATTATTATCATTATTATTATTATTATTATTATTATTACTGTTTATTTCCACTAAATGAAATTTTTACGATTGTAAGAGAAAATTGGCAATGATGCCCAAAGCAACCATGAGGCTTATATAACATCATAAGCTTTCTTGACTAATTTCGTGGAGACTAGATTCTTTCTGAAGCAAAGCAAAGACATAATTTCGTTTCTTATAAAACAGTAGATCTTATTCTGACTCAGCTGAAGAGAATGTTTGCTTGAACTGACGTGGCCGGATGGTGGTTCAAAATTAGATACTATAAGGCCAACATTAAACCATGAAAAATGAGTTTATTATTAAAAGAAATTTTGGCTATCTTAACGTACGCATACACTAAACAGAATTTAAGAGCTGAAGTGTTTGTCAGTTCATCCCTCCCCTGTTCACTCGCAAAACAGTTTGAAACCATTTTAAAGTCTCAACATAACCAATTTATCACACGTCACGCACGATTTAACTGACAATGACAGGGATTAATAGACACCCTGCAATTTTATTTTTATACAGTCGAACCTCCCGTAAGCGACCACCAAAAAGGCGCAGCTTTAGTGGTCGGTATTTTTATTTGGGAGGTGGTCTATAATGATACTAAAGTCGGACAACAGGGAAACTCTTCCAGGTATAAGTCCCGATAAATCTACTTTTTGTAAAAGAATTCATTGAGATGCAACTTCTAAATAACGATATGTGAAGTTCCGCGTGTCCCTCAAATTTCTTGGCTTATTCTTCAAGTAGCGTTTGTACAATTACAGCGAGCATATAGAGCAGACCATGGAACGCCGGCTTACACGATGTAGAAAACAATGGTCACCTGTTCACCACACCACATCACTCCGCCGAAAAAAAAAACGACAACAGTTTAACTAAAAGTAGTAATTGAAGAAGAAATAGGAGTCTTGAAAGCCTCCGGAGAACTCGATTTCTCGGGTAGTTTGGTTCGGTAATTTGTTTGGCAGTTTTTAAGTTTGTTTCGCTGTTTTACCAGTTCACATTTCCCGCTGCGTAGCACCCTATCCAACATGCTTGCAAATTAAAATGGCGGCTTAAGTTTTTCATCCGAGAATTTTGTGAGCGCTAGAAAGTAAAAAGCTATGATTCTTTCTGAACACGCTTTAAAAGGAAATGGCGATAAACTTGTTGAAGAGTTTCTTAGCATTCTTGAATATGCGACCTCTTGGTTAGACATTCGTGAATGTTTTGAATGAGGTTGGCAGTCGAGAGTCAAAAGGGGGACAGTTTCAGCAGTTTCACAGTTTCTGTACCGCAGCCGGTAAGTTCCTCATTTGCTTGTTATGTCAGTTGTAAAGTTAAGTATTATTGGAAGGTAGCGAACGTTAAAGTGAGGTTTCCAGGGGGAGACAATGTTCTTTCATTTTCGCAGCTTTGTCGTTCCATGAGCCCCACTAACCAGTTATCAGCTGTAGATCATTGTGGATCACGAACACAATCGATGAAATCTTGTCACGAGGAGACAAATAGATCGTTTTCATTGTCACGCAACAAAAAATAAATTGGAAAACGTCCAGTGGAAGAAGCCAAGAAAATGAAAAGTTTTAAAAGACTAATTTTTAAACAATTTGTCCAAGTCTCAGGTCTTTGTGGCCCAAAGTTTCTGAATTATTTGCCGAAACTTTTCACGCACCTTTGTAGAGCTTTGTATGGAGACGCCATATTGGTACACCGTTTTGGTGCACCAATATGGCCGCCGGAAATCAACAAAACATCTGGAGTTCGCTTTTTCTATAAAAGCTCTTTCTTTTCACTCGAGAACTAGCATGTGCTCATAAACATATCTTCTAATACCTGAAATGGTTATACTCCTGAAAATCAAGAGGAGAGACTTTTTTTCAACGAGACAGCACTCCTATTTTGGTGTCACGCATTGTGAAAATTCGGAAGTTCAAATTGCTGTATTTTCGAAATGAAACATCTTACAGGAATGGAAACTTGTACAAAGATTAACTTTGTGTTTATCTTCAACCTAGTGTAGATAAGAATTCGTAAAACCTCGCTATTTGACTTTACAATTTGATGACGTCACTATGAAAACCATCTATAGCTTCAAAGCGCCCTAAACAATCAACTCAACAGAATCGTTTTTAGCAGGTAACCGTCCTGGTGTAGTCACAGGGGCCCACACAATCTGTTTATGTAGCTGATTCAGTCATTTTTGTTGAAGAACCTTATAGTAAATGTACTGGATTTACCGTTTGACTCACCTATAGCGATATGTCGGTAACTATGTATATAAATCAATGATAAATAAACGTTGAATTACCTAGGACATAGTTAGTAGAGGGGACCCCTCTACTAACTATGCCTAGGACAAGTGTCCTTCTGTCATAAGGCACAGTCAACGGCGAACTCAAACTCCTTCAAAAATCGCTCAAAAACCGCTTTTGAGGCAAAAGGACGACTACTTACCACAGGTAAGGTAATTCAACGTTTATTTATCATTGATTTCTAAACATAGTTAGCGATATATCAGTATAGGTGAGGCAAACGGTAAATCCAGTGCGTTGCATTATAAAATAAGAATCGGCTCACAAACATATCATACTGACAGATTGTGTGGCCTCCCTGTGGTAAAAGTAGCCCTGTTAGAAAAATGACTCTTTCAACTTACTTTTGTTGGACTAATAATATTTACATTGTAAAAACAAGAACTAATAAACTTAAAAATACAGATATACTGATTCGTGTTGTAGACCGTCCTGGATAAACCATCCGAATTTGATCATTTCCTGCAATTTGCTGTGGGAAGCCAGACTTGATAATTGACTGTTTGACTATTTTCTAAACAACGTACCCACGAGTTTACGATAGTCTTCCTTTGATTTGAACCACCTGGAGGTGGGAAATGGTAATTGGTTCGACATAGAAGTTCAAAAATTTGAAAGAAACCAGTTATTGCATCAAAGAACTGGAACGAAGGTTTTCAATACGGTCTGAATGTCTCCTAACGAACGCTCTCGTAAACGGACAGCTCTGGAGGTTTGCATTCAAGGCAGGCACTCAGGCGTGTGAGGAGAGGAGAGAGGAGCATGCACAGTGGGATGAGAGGAGAGAGCGCAGACGGCCTAGGGTTGCGGAGGGAAGCATCAGTAACTACAGAGCTAACTAAGCACGGAATTGATTGATTGGTAAGCGCTCAATCATGACGATCTTACAAAAAACTAGTGGACTGTAATGGGTCTTTCCAAAGACATGTCTTCCTAAACTAAATGTGATGTTACCTGCGATAGGCTGACTTGGAAAAAGTCACCTCTTACCTTTTATGTAGGATGAAGACACCAAACACTCCCAAGATATCATGGATAACATCAAGAAAATAGAGCGACAGAGCAGCGATGATTTCGTCTCCCTCATCTTTATCGATGTATCTTTATCTACCAACAAAAAAACGCTTGTTACGTATTTATAACAACCTGTCCGCAACAATTTTCGGGAGAAGGTGCCGATGTACAAGAGTGTTCGAATTGAATCTTTCTAGTTTAATTTGCTTTGAAGTTTGACAAATGTTTGCTTTTCAGAAAATCGATTCGTTAAGCCATGATAGTTTCATTTGCTTACAATGGCCAAATTTAACTTAACAACCACTTTATCCAAAACTATCGATGAAATTGGCCGTTTTTATACTAGAGGACGTATTATCGATCCGTCCAGTCACTGACTCGTGTTATGCGTCAAGTGTAAAGACGGAATTAAACGAGTACAGGCAAGACGAACTGCCAGAGGCGAACAATGCGAGGAGGGTCTGAATGAGGTTTAGTGTTATTTACCATAAGTTAAATTGGTCTAAACTGTTAATTTGGTCAATTTTTTTAATGTTTACTGTTTCCGAAGGAAATACTGTTAAGCGCATGGAGGATATTTTCTGAAAACCTGAAAAAAATCTTATCTACGCATTCACGACAGTAAAAAATATATTCTTCACAAGGAAAATATAGGGGAAAATTTTTGGATTTCTCCTCAACTTGCAGACTCCGGACATTTTCGGTAGCCTTCAGAAAACTTTCGAAATAATCTGGAATTGTAGGGAAAAAACTAAAGCCGGAAAGTCCTTGATAGAGTAA